TTATAGTTGGGTATTAACTCGAGTAAATCAAGTGCATGGAAGGGTGTGTTAGAGGCTTTTAAAAAGAGGTTGGCATTATGGAAGCATAGGTATTTATCGATTGGAGTCGTTCTTAATTCTATGTCATTGCACTCATTATCTTTTTTTAAGGTACCAAAGTCGGTGATGAAGGAGATTATCTCTATCCAACAAATTTTTTTATAGAATGGTGTTAATGAAGGATCTAAAATCCCTTGGGTGAAATGGGAAATGGTTTGTAGACCGCGAAAAAATGGTAGCTCGGGCATTAGGAATGTGCAATGGTTTAACTGGACACTTATTGGTAAATGGTTGTGGCGAGGTGTTAATTGTTCTAGTTTATTATGGGTGAGGGTGTTGGAAGCTAGGTACGGCAGATTAGCTTCTTCTATTCATCGTCCATCAGTCCACAACAGATGTTCTTTGTGGTGGCGTGATTTGCTGGAGGTTATTCATCAAGGGAATTCATGGCTGGATGAGAAGTTGGATAGGAGTGTGAGTGCAAGTTTGCACACTCTGTTTTGGAGAGATAAGTGGATAGGTAAGGTGCGATTATGTGAGGTATTTTCGCGATTGTTTGCAGTGATGAGAAATGTTGAATCTTGTGTATTGGAGAATGGTTTTCATGATGGCAGTAGGTGAGTTTGGGATGTTAGTTGGCGAAGAGGACTCTTTCAACATGAGATCTCAAGCTTTAATTTTATGTTAGAGCTTGTGGATGGAGTTTCTATTAAATTACTACAAGAAGATAAATGAGTATGGAGGGCAGATTCTTCAAGTTGTTATTCAGTGCATTCTGCCTATTTATGGCTATTTAAACTTTTTGGTGGTCCAAATATGGTAAATCAGTGTACGGCAGATGCCTTGCAAAGGATATGGAGAGGGAAGGTCCCTCTGAAGTGTCTGGTATTTTCTTGGCAATTGTTGTTGAATGCACTTCCTTGTAAAGGTTTGTTGATTGATCGTGGTGTTCAAATTGATGATATAACTTATTGCTTCTGTCATGATTTCGAAGAACTTCCAACTCATATATTTTTAACGTGCTCAGTTTCATCCCAAATATGGTATTTTATTGCACATTGGCTTGGATTCTCACTGGTTTTGCCCTCAAATTTATTGACTCACTTGCTTTCTTGGGTTGGTGTTGGTTATAGTAAAAGAGAGGATATGTTTATTAATTGTTTGGGTAAGTACAGTACGGTCTTTGTGGTTACATAGAAATCGAATTGTATTTTCCAATGGTGTTTTGGATAAGAGCGAAATCTTAGATTCTATTATTCTGAAGTCCTGAAAATAGCTATCACTTGTTAGTAAGGGAGAAGCTATTTTGTTAGCTAATTGGTATTTGAATCTACGAAATTGCATCCGTCTTAGTTAAGTATAAGTATGTTTTTGCTTTTCATTTTTTTTTTTTAGTAATTATTAGTTTTTTCTATGTGTATATGGGTTTTGAGTTCCCCTTAAACTCTCTATAATAATATATTTTTCTTATAAAAAAAAAAAAGACCTATGATAGCATCTAATAATGGATGTAACTATGTTGATATTGTTGAGGAGAGCCTAAGCGTTCAACTAGAATGTGATGTTTTTGTGGGTAGCTTCTTGAAATATAGTTAGACTAATATTTTACCCATGTTGCAATGCATGCACAAAGTATGTTACAAATTATTCAGTTTGCCAGAGTTCAAATGTTGTGGTTAATTTGGAGTTTTATGTTGAGTTACCACTCTAACAACGTAGTTTTAGTGAGGTATTTACCTTTACTAAATATAATGTGATTATGACTAAGATTCAACTTCTCATTAATTTTTCTTTTTAAAATCTGAAAACTTATCCCTCTTTATATTTTTATTTTTATTATTATTTTTATTCCCTTCAAATGTCACACATTTATTTCTTACAAATATTCTTCTATTCTAATACATGATAACAATATCACCCATCCTACATTTGTAAAAAAGAAACTCTTAAAAATAAAATACATTATTTCCAATTTATTTAGCTAATATCATACAAATTATATGGTTGAATTTAGCCAATACAAATACACTATATTCACTTCTACCAATATAACTTCAAATATAAATTAATTTAACAAGAACTAACGATATAATACTATTCCATCCAATTAAAATTTAATAGGAAACTAATATATAAATTTACTTAAAATATTATTTTTCAAAATCTTTTATATTAGCTAATTAAAAAATATATATTTTGTTTTAACATGCACATAATAGTTACATTTATTCAAATGAAATAAACTAACAAAATTAACAACATAAAAAATTACTTTCACTTTTTTGAAATTCACTCTACAAATCAATCTCACATTTTATATACAATTTTTTTAGATAATAAAGTGTAACAATATCACTTTAATTAAAGAATAAATATATGTGTCAACATCTCATATATTTTGTCTCTGTCATGGATGAAACTTACAAGATAATACCACATATCAAAATCTTATAAATTTTGTCTCTAACATAGGATCAAGTCACAGGTTAAGATATTAGAACGAAACTTGTATTATGTTAACACATGGCATAATTTCTATAATTTTATTTTTTATACATATAAAACTATTGACACATGTTTTGAATTTTGAGATTTTATCACTATGCCAGATGAAACATATTCTCTTTGTGACATCTACTTCTTGAAGTTTCATTATCTTATGGAACAAAATTTGTAAAAAAATAATAATTAAATTTTATCCTTATTAAATACAAAATTGCTGCTAACATGGCTAAAGATGTTCCAAACAGATAAATAGTTTGGTTTTTATATTATTTTAGTAATCTTTTAAAAAAATAAATAAGCCCAAGTATCAAATATGCGGCATAACCATACATTTAGCCTGTCTCCAAATTCATCCACCTTTTCTTTTTCTAAACCAATTCAACCACGTGTGACGTTTCAATATCATTGGTTCCTTTTTCATTGTTTGGTAATGTACAAAAACCTTGCTCACCAACAATTGACTTGGGCCTAAACTACTTGGCAATGCATGGTTCAGTGGGACACCGACATTAAACTTGTGAAGGCTGTTGCCAAATTTAGCAGCGAACTATAATCTCTGCGTAGGCTTGATTTGGATACGAGATCGGTATGCCTTATTGTAAGGCGCAAATTAGCATTGAATAATTGCATACCAATTGGTTGGTAAGAGGAGGACCATTTTGACCTAAATGCGAAGCTTATAAGATCACATCTAAAGGCCTTTCAGAAAAATAGCTATTAAATTATGTTACTTTTCTTCCTTTTTGTCAACCACATATCCTACCAAATTTTTAAAATTTCCGGTAGCTATATCCGTTACGTTATACAGTATTTATAAATCCATAATAAATATATAAAATTAAAAGGTTTAAATTTTAAAAAAAATAAGGATATTTTATTGATTATAAAAATATAAATTAAAAGTACAAGAATACAAAATTTTTAAATATCAAAATATTATAAATAAGTTTAATGAATAGAATATTACTTAAATAATTGTTTTTAAAAAAATTTCACTCTGCATAATATTGACTGAAACTTTTAAAATTTTTTTAAAAGTTATAAAAATAAAAATATTATTTAATTGAATAAGTAATTAAGGAGGAGTTTTGATTTGATATTAAATCAAATAATTAACTAATTATTTTAATCATCGATCAAGATAATCTTACTATATTAAAATAGATATTGATGAGTAATATTTTTTGTTAGCATATTTATGAATAATAGTAACGACATTTGTTTAGAAATAAAGTTTATGGGTTAAGAAATAATTATGACTTCAATTTGCTCAAATTTCTCACGCTTTGACTTAACTTTAACCCCCTATGTTATCATATGTTTAAATCGTAAACAAATTGTTTTTTAAGGTTTGAATTCAATTCTGGCTGGCAACAACCTATTTTAGTAACTGAGTACTTGGCTCATCCCTAGTTTGTAACAAATTTAAAAGAACTAACTAATGTGCAAGGCTATTCAATTGTGAAAATGCCCCTTGGACTTAATTTAACCAAAATTACAATTGAATGCATGTATTTTACTTGAAAAATCAATGTATCCTGCCAATGACGGATATAAGGGAGCAAGGTCGGCTTGGGCCTTCCCTCTTTTATATTTTTTCTTCCGTTCCTATATATATATATATATAATATTATATTTATTTGTTATATTACATAGAATATCACGATAAAAATACGAAACATTATTATTAACTTTAAAAAATTAATAAAAAAATTAACTATTTAAGTATAATTTTTTTACCCACCACCGTTGACTTCAAAAAATTAATAAAAAATTAATTATTTAAGTACAATTTTTCTTGACTCACCACAGTATTACACTTAGTAACATTATTACATTAATTTATTTTTATTTTTTTTGCATTAGAAGTTGAATTTAAAAGTTTCTTTAATAAGGCAAGTGAAAAATCTCATCAATGCTTATCATATTTTAAGTTTATTTTCTTTTAATTTCTATTAATTTTTTATTATTAAAATCATTTTCTTTCGGCCCCTCCTTTGAATGGTTTCTAGATCCAGCACTGGATCTGTATATATCTAACTGTAAAACTAATCATTTTTAAATAATGTAAACTATTATACTGAGTTTAATTTTATATATTTAACTTAAAAACTTTCACCGTAAATTAATTAAAACTCACTTTCGTATAACTCTAAAAATAGTTATTAAATAAATCAACAATCTTTAATTATATGACATCTATGATTAAATAACAGTAAACAAATAATGAATATATTCCAATTAAATTCTTATACAAATAAGATTATTTTCCTAATTGATCGTTAGCACTGGGTGAATATTTAAATGATATTAAGAGATTTCAGGAGGGTAAATATTTAAATGAAGAGCACAATATCCTTAAATAGAATAGAGTAGAAAATGCATGGTGGGGGCAAAGAAACAAATATAAAGTGAACGTGACAAAAATAAAAGGAACGATAAATTAATAAGCATGCGCATTTGCTACCTCAATCCACTTCCTTGATCAGAATTTACAGAAACAAGTGCAATGAAATAAATGTATGACAAAATGCTATAATAGAGTGGACTATTCATAAAGCTATGGCGTGTAATAACATTGAATCTAATATTACAACTAGACCGTGGTGAAGATGAAAGCACCTTATATTTCAGCTCTTGTGCACAATTAAACGGATGGAAAGTACTTGTTTAGATTGAAAGGCAGTGAATAGAACTCCTCACTTCTTGTGTCGCCCTTGAAGGACTTGTACTTGTCCCACCAATGTTTTCCTCTGTCCTTCCTAATACTTGCTTCTTTCTTATACAAAGTGTTGTCTAGAAAATATGCCACAACACCCGCAACAAATGGTTTTGATTGGAATGGAACGTTGATTATATCATTGAACTGCCATGTACATAAAACTCTGATCGTAAGCAAACTCAATCTAGTGTAATAAATCCTAATGCTCACACTCACACCCATACATTATCCATATAATAATAAAATCATGAGACGAGATGTGAAACTATGCATAATAATATCTCAAATAACATTTATTAAAAGTGAATTTTATTGTACCATAATTATCATGAATATAGTTTGCTAAAGTTTGTATTCCTAGCACTCCTTTTTATACATATAAAACATGTATAAGTATGTAATCTAATAATAATTTTGTTTACATTTTATATAGTATATCATATGTTAAAATACAGTAAAATAAAGTATTTAATATATCATACGTTAAAAGTATCATTTAATTAAGTTTGACACTTGTGTCCCATATATAATCAGTTTTGTTAACATGAATTCAAGCAATTAATAATAATCAGATTTTATAAGAAAAAATATATATTTATTACACTTGAGTATCTCTAATGTAATAAATATTTTTTTAAATAAAAATTTTTACTACTTTTAAATGTTTGAAGTCAATCCTAAGGACTAATGTTAACAAAACTGATGTATATATACAACATCCATACCCATCTTGCGCCTGTGTGGACGGGGCCAAAACCATTAATTGCTGTGTACTCGTTGAAGTACTGTGGCACAGACAATCCCAAAAAGATAGAGAAGCCTAATATGAACTTTGTTCTAAAACTGTTGAGGTTGCAGAACTGAAGAAAACTAATACCACCCGCACCTACAAATGATGAGCAAAAGTGGAAACATTACATGGTATTTCTGGTAATCATAATAAACCAATTATAATTACATGTCACGAGTACGTTTAAAAAAATCAACATACCAACATAAGCAAAGAACAAGCAGTAAAGGGCAGCAATAATGGAAGGTGGGATGGAAGCGAAAACTGCTCCAAATTTTCCTACACAACCAAAGAATAATTGGCAAATATTGAGAGGGAAGAAAATGTGCTACAGGATAAGGCAAAGTAGATACTCAAATTACAAATATCATGTTTCATAAACTCACCAAGAATTGAAAAGAAAATCATAAATCCAGCCGATATTTGCACCACTCTTCTACTTCCAACGCGTGTCAAAGCCAGCAGACCAGCATTTTCTCTGCAATGAAACCAAAAAAATTATTTTCATAAACAAGGAAGTTGGTCTTCTTAACTAACATAGAGTAATCAAATACAAATAGAACAATTTCAATCTTACACGGATACAGAAGATCCATTGACTGTTCCAAACAATCCTGACAACAGAATGCCAACTCCCTGAGAGCAAAAATATGATGCATTAAGAATTATACTTGAATTTTCTACTTTATTGCTTGGTGAAAATATCATTATAATCAATTATGACCTCTTAGTCTTAAGTCTAGTATTATTCATAAACGCATAATTTTTTTTTTTGGAGGTATTTAAATGATTAAGTACTGGCCACTGTCATACCTGCCAACCAATACCTCGACTAAGAATAGATGGTGGCAATGGTGTTGCACTTGCATACCTATATACAGCAATGAAAGCTCCACTGGACTGTTTGAAACAAGTGAGTATTAGTAAATAATTTAATTTAAGTAAGCAAATTAACAACTGCATAACACTAATACTGAGCCAATGCACAAGTATACAATCCAGAAAATCCCAAGAATGTCATTGTGCAAACGGTGAGACTATTATGTGCTGGTTGAATTTTAGCATAGTAAATGGTTTACATTTTAGTTGAAAATGTTAATTGGACCAATGTGCACCTCCCTGCCAATTATACAAATTATAACACATCATCATCAAATTGTTCCCATTTCCCTTAAGGCAAAATCAAACATTTATGACAATCGCCAACCTACAGCTAAATTTTTTTTTTTCAGGATAAGAAACCTAAGTTCATCGCCAGAAGCAGTTTTTAAAAACTCATAAGTGATATTACTAACCTACAAACTTATTAATATAATTTCACTAAATGTTAACTGGTACAAAGTGATGAGAGATGTAAGAATGATGTGCTGTCCTATATATGTCCAGCTGCAAGGCACTGAAAATTTGCAGAAGACCCAAAGAAAATGATAAATATAGAATATAATTGAATAATTGTTGGGCAAGAAAGAATACCAACAAAACAGGGTTTCTTATTCCAACTTAAAAAGAAACAGAGATTTAACAAAAGAAATTACCTCTACAAGAGCAACGAAAGCTGCCATCATCATGGCAAAGGCTTCACCAGCATCAAATGAAGGTGCTCCCCATTGAAAGGGATATGGAACTCTTATCCTGCAAACTCAAAATCCATGACAAAGTCTTCTCAATAAGTTTCAACTCACAAAGCTAGCCCTAGGTAGTAAGATTCCCACCACCTATGAAAACAGCATCTCAACGATCCAATTGAATCTGACTCAAGAAATATCAATAATTTTTATTGTCTAAAGTTTGTAATAGTGATCAGTATAACAAATGATTTAAGAGTGACCAAGTGACATATAAGCACTTCAATGTATCATCTAAGAGGTATCTCCTCAGCAACAAAAACAAAACAGTAAGCAGAAATTAAAATAACAAGAATAAATCTGAAATAGGAGAAAAAAAGTTTAATGACTAAGTCATTCTCATTTGCTAATTAACACAAAATATAATTTTACCAATATTTATAATTAGTCCTTGAAAAAAAAAATTTAATTGGGACCCTGTCATTACCAATTGCTGTTAATTTAATGTTGAAGCCAATTTGCCACAATGGATTAGATGGTGGCCAAATCAATCCATCCCTGACACACCTGCAGTGATTCCCACATACCCTGACATGACTGTGTTTTCTAAACAGGAAATGGATTGTCATTGTGGCACACCAATTAGAAGCTTTTAAATTCTAGGATTAGAATTTTAAAAACACTGTAAAACTATATGGATCTACACAGTTGCCACAGAAATAATGCCATTAAGAGTTAAAAGTCAAGGAAATCACACAACTAACCAAGGAGCAGCATCTATAAGTCCAGCACGATCAGTGCGGCATGATGCCTGTGTTTTAGGTGCAGCATTGTTATAGGCCCCTCCAACAGTGAGTAGATGAGCATATATCCACACAATTACAATTGTAAATATAACAGCAAAACGGTCAAAGATATGCTTCCCTGAAGGTAGCACATGGGGAACATACTGCACGACAACCACTAACCACTTAACAAACTCAAATTTATTGAAACATCATGCTAGAAGAGTAAAGAAACCAAGAGAACAAAATGAACCATGATCTTAATGCTGAGATTTAAAAATTTAGAAGACACTGTATATGCAACTTTGTGGAACTCTATCTTGCCTGTGAAACAAATACTAGCAATATAAGCTCAGGTAGTCCAATCTCTACACATTTAGCAACCTACATCCAAGACAGAAATCAATATTAAAAATTTCCTCATTTAATGTTAAACCTTGAGCATTGTTGTCAATAAGTAGCAGAAGGCTTACCCCAGGGAACCCTAACTCATACAGCCCAAAACCAACAAGAGCTACCAAAGGAACTGACGAAAGTGGACTTAAGAACCTGAAGAAAATTTGAACTTCAATCAGATAGGAATATTATACCCAATCACAAGATTATTCATTTTTTCTAATTTTTTATTTTATTTTTTTGGCTTCTGTGCTAGTTAATCCAAATTCAATTGAATAAAATCACTTAAGCTATAACATTATAACATCTACTTCAAAGATCAATTTAGCTTGGTGGAACAATGGCAAATGAGCATAGATGGCAAAGACAATCTTAAATATGGCTTACACTTTAATTTAGACATTGTCAAGACATGTAAAGAGAGAAAAAGTATAATGCATCCATTAAGTAAGAGCTTGGGACCAACCTTGCAACATTACGCCAGAGACCACTAAAGCCTAGCACTATTTGAAGAGTTGAAGCAACAATAAGAGCACCCTGGATTGCCCTCATTATCCTTTTGAATTTCTGATTAGGAAAAAAACAAAAAAACAAAAACATGGAAAATTTGTCACAGTTCCAATCGTATAGGCACAATATTTAATGTTTTATGGTGGTTATTGAATCAATTCCAATGAAATTAAGCACTGCATGGCTGTTAGTTTCTGGTGACACGTAGCAAAAAGAATGGGTGTACTGTACAATATGATTGCAAATCATTTTGTAGTCTCTATATAGGTTAAATCTCATTGATTACAGTGTAAAATAACATAGCAAGCATATCAACCATGCATCATTTAGAATAGCTAGCTTAGTTTTGATTGCAAGACCTCTATAGGATCTGGTTCACTACTGAATCGGCCAGCAAGGATTATTGAGATTGTTGTTGGAACAAAGGTATAAGACCCTCCAATTACTGCAGGTAGTCGAGTTCCAAACAGTGTTTGCAGCAATGTGTTAATCCCAGCTACAAAAAGCAGTGTTTCAATAACTCTAGCCTTCTCCTCCTGCAAAAAATGGAATGGTATATTTATATGTAGAATTTTTGGCTTGGAGAAAACTTCATCTGCAATCATATAATTAGATTTTAATATATTCCATATCAAATTTAATAATTGCTACTTTAAGTATATTAAATATGTAGCTGCTTACATTGCCACCTCCCATCTGGGGAACAAGAGCAGTGGGAATGAGCACAGTTGTGCCGAGCATCACCAGAAAATGTTGAAAACCAAGAAGAATGGCCTCAGCTGCATCAGAATGTCCCCAAAATTCACATAAAATTAAGAAAGAACAACAAAAGCAAAGTTAAATCCCAAGCAAAATGGAGGGTAGGGAGATTCACAAAATTGCAAGCATAAACTGCAATTTATTAAAGAATATGTCACTTAAGTTGGCCAAATATTTCAATTACCTAAAATTTTTTAACGACATTGTTCAATTAGAAGTTCATGACTGTATGTCCTCAGTGAAGTCATCATAAAATACCCCAAAATCCAATAATTTGAATAATCTATTTTAAATATAAAAAAAAAAACATTATTAGCTATTAAAACATTTAGAAAAGAGGCAAATGTGGAAACATCAATCAAATTGTTCCCAAAGTACCAAATCTGGATCTGGCCATAACAGGGAAGGGCCTTCATAATTAAAATAGAGAAGAGGAAACAACAAACTCAAAAGGATTTCAATTAAATTGGAAATAGAACTCCAAATTGGCGCCAATCGTATAAAAAGTAAAAATACTTGGATTGTCACTGGCATTGGTAAAAGCATAAAACTAGATTCAATCCCCCAAAGCAGAAAAGGTAGTTCTTTTCCTTTGTTTTTGCTTTCAACCAGCTTAAGAATGAGCATTTTCTTTCATTAAAACAAAAATCCACAATTATATTATTACTATTATTATTTAATTAGAAACTTTGTTTTGAATCTAAGATAAAGGGATCACTTACGCCATGGAGGAGGGCTTGTCATGCAGTAAGAAACATGGGGTAGCTGATCCTTTGGTGGGTGTGGTTGCGGCTCATCTGCTTTGGGTGCTGGGCCTCCTCCTGGCATAACTTTTCCTTTCTCTTTCTAACTCTGAACAATGAATAAAAATGCAACAATCAATGAATCTATCAACCCAAATCTAACACCAACCCAGATCCCACAATGCCACAATGGAAAAAACCCAGAAGAGAATAAAACAAAAAAGAGGGATCTTGCTTACAATGACTACACCTGCTAAACTAAACAAAAAAGAAAAATAAGGGAATAGAACTAGGCCAATATTAAGAGCAGAAAATGAAAGTGTAACCAAAGAGTTGAGGAGAGTGTTTTCTTTTCTTCACTAATGAAGTGAAAGCAATGGTCACAATAATTATGCAATTTAAGAGGGAAGTTGAGTGAAAAAAAAAAGAAAGCACCTTTTTCTTTTCTTTTTTGTTACTTTTTAACGATGTTTCAGTAAGGAAAATCAAGTGAGTGAAAGAGCATTATTAAGTCAAAAACAAAATGAGGTGCCCCCACCCACCACCACCACCCCCCAAAAAGAAAGAAGAAAAGAGAACAGAAAAGGGAACCCCAGATGATCCTTGTAGTTGTTGTGGAGTGTGGAGTAAAGTGGACTCCAATGCTTGGGAGAAACGATAGTGTGCACAGAAATTAGCAGAAAAATTTTTTTGAATGAAGATTCTTTTTCCTCTCTTGCTACTGCAAGAAAAGTAATGTCCCTTTCCTTCTCTCACTAGTCCATGCTTATAATGTTATGTTATAGGAGTCTTCTCTCTCTTAAATTCTTCCCAACAAATGTTGCTCACATTTATTGTTTTGTTCGGTATTGTGAAATTGTTATAGACGAATGTTTAGGTTGGCACTCTCATGTCATGCACGACAAAGCATGTAAATATATTTTTATATAAAACACTAATGCTCTCACATGTATTTAATGTTCAATGTGGAGATTTTTGCAAATATAAAATAAAAAAATTCAAAATTTAAGATGTGTCCTATTTTGGTAGAAAGTTAAAATATGTTCTCTCTTTATATATGTAAATTATATAAAGGTGGTGCTATTTAATTTTTTCACATAAGTTGTATAAAGGTGTATAAGAGTGGTGCAACTTATCCACATAATTGAAGCGTTGCTCAGAAAGAAAAAACTTAGATTTAGGTTGGTGCAACTTATGTTCAACAATTAATTTAACAATTTTATTGTGAGAGTTCTATATAAGTCATCTAAGAAAATAATTTGAAAATAGAAATTATCCAAAATAGTTTACACAATGAAAGAAAAACAGTGTAGACTATTATAATTAAGATGGATACATATCTAAAAGATTGAAAGAGCTTATATGTTTACTTGTTTAAGTTTTTTATTTTTATATTTTAATTTATGTTATTGTTTAGTTAGTAATTTGTTTCAGTTTTGTGCTTTTGTATTTCAGTTTTACTTAGTATAATTTAATTTTAATTCCTTTTGTTTAGTTTAAATTTAGTATTGGTAGTTTATCATAGCTTTCTTGGTCTCTTAATTATCCTTGTCATTGAAAAAATAGTTTAGTTTATATATCATTTATGTTATTCGCTAATTACATATATTCATGTTTGATCTCTTAAAATTTTTTGTCCTTTACAAATGATGAATAATATACATGCATGAGCCAGCCTATAAGCCCTTATAGTTATTACCATAGCTCTAGTTGATTCACCATTCAATTTTCATTTGGCCTCCATAAGCTTGCTTACATCTAAATATTGTTTAATTTGTAAAGGACAAAAAATTTGTGGATATAGTTGGACTAGCCATGTCATGCATGGGCTATTGGCTAACAACGGGCATATAAGAGGAGACAAGACATGACATCAATGATAAATACGTTAAAATAAACTATTTTTTTAAACTAGCCCACAAAATTACAATAAACTACTAATTTTATATTATAACTAAACTAAGCAAACAAATTAATTAACTAAACAAAACATATTTAAATAAATTACAATGAGTAAAATTGAAATACAAAACTAAAAAAAAAAAAGTAAAACAAATTACTAAATAAACTTTAACAAATTAAAATATAAAAATAATCTTTCAAATATCATTATCATAATGATTAATATTTTATCATTTCATATCATTCATTTTGCTAGTACTTCTTTCTAAAAGATTCTCTTCTATACTAAACTATCTTGGGCGACTTCTCTTTTCTTAAGTAACATATACAGAGTTCTCACAATATAACCTTTAAACTAGTCATCAAACATAAATTTTCCCGACTTAACTTAAATTTTACAAAACATAAGTAACACAACCTTTATCGAAGTTATGTTTAAGACTCTAGCCTCATACATAAATTGTATTGAGAGTATATTCTTAGAAATGACACATTTAAGCCAACGTTGGATTTACATAAATGTATAAAATTTAGTAACATCTGGTTATTTATTTTATTTAAATTAAATAAAACATTTTTTTATCATTAAAATGGATTGAAGTATTATATATTCATTTTGATATTTTATCTACTTCTTAAATAATTAAATAAAAAAATCTTATAATAAAATTTAAATAATATTAACCTACTTTATTTGACTTTATTTATTATCATTATAATTTATCTTATTTTATTGGTTGTTAAATATTCAAACATAAATTTAATATCTACCTCTGTTTCTGAACTTTACACAGCAATTTCCCAGCTACACGGCAACTAAGTGTTTCCAATTCTTTAGGGAATAGCAACCATGTGCCTCCTTTATACAAATGATAAATTATTAATAAATTAAAGAATCTACGTATATCGGTATTTGGATAAGAAAAAGTAATAATAATTACTCATCAAGAGTTATTAAGTATATATCTTAACATTTTATTATTTTGATTCTGATTCAATCATGTATTCTTATTTAGTGATATTTTTGTTTATTAATCATCAAAAGTAATATAGGATATCCTTTCAAATTACTTCATTTCTGTGTTCGGACTTCAATCTTCAGAGTACTTTTTGTTGTGAGAAAACACCAACGGATTCTTTCAGGTATTAGTAAAGAAATTCAAAATAAAATATTTTAAATTATTTAAAAATATAAAATAAAAATTTATATACAAAAAATTTTCTTAAAAATTATATAATATTATAATATATTGAATATATTAAATATTATAATTTTTCATAAAAATATTATTTGTTTATTTTATTATATGCCATTAAATATATATTAAAATTTTAAATAAAGAAAATTATAAAATTATTATTAATACAATTTTTATCATAATTTTAGTTATACTGTGAACAATATAATTGGTATATTAATTATTATGAATATTAAAAATTATTGTTAACCTAATAATTTATAATTAGATAATAATATGCATTTAAATTAAATTTTGTTATAACAGGAATTATAAAAATCTTGAACAAAAGAAAGCAAGTAACGTGGAATTATTAGAATATCCTAAGAAGGGGGTCCATGTTCCATAGACAATAAGAAGGTGAAAGAGTTGAGGGTATTGTTTAATTTGTGGGAGGGATAGCAGAGGAATATTGAGGCACCTAAATCACCATTACCAAACCTTTGAAAGTTACAGGGAAAGGTGTATGAGAAGCAATGATTGAAAAGCATTAGAGAAAAGGAGGAGAGGACAGCCGACAAATGCTCTTATCCCTGAAATCAGTGAATGAGCGGTCTTGCCTGTTCCTTATTGACATACAACTGGCATTGTCACTCTAAACAATTCTCCAGTGTTTGAAAAATTATTTTTATTTATAAATACTTTTTTATTATTTAATAATACTCATTGATATCTTTAGACTGTTAATTAAAAAATTATTTCAAATATTATTAATGTATTTCTTAATTAGCCAACAAGAGGTAGGGAAAAGGTCTAGTTATAGAGTAGGAAATATAATTTCTTACATTGAAAGTGGGATAATATTGATTGTTTTTATTTAGTGAGAATAATTTATATGTGTATATTAAAAATATAAAGTAAACAATAAATAAATAACATTAAATACAAATGTTAATTATTTAACGTTTAAATAATAAATCTGTATAGTATAACTGCAGTCAATAAATTTAAAAAATAGCTAGAATGGCACAATTTTTTTGGATAGAGCAGTAACTCTGGGAATAAAATCCCCCAAAATTTATATAATTTTGTTCTTTTGTCATTCAGTAATATTTTACATAATAACTTTTTATCTCATATTTTTTAAAATTTTCTTACATACTTATAATTTAAAAATGCATTCTAAAATTAAATAAATAGTTTTTTAATTTTTAATTTTGTATTATAAAACATTTTCCACCAGATTTATATTTCATCTCAAATAAAAACACGGACAAGAACAAAATTATGTCACTTCTATATGCCTAATCATCCTCTCTAGGCTAGTCATAATTACATCTTTCTGTATCCCTCCTGTGTTCTAAACATAAACTATACGGGTCATTCAATATAATTAACTTAACCTCGATCTTGTGAAGTTTTCTTAGGTTCATTTCAGTAATTAAAACTTGATTTTCATGCTATGTTTTTATCTTTTCCCTTCTTGTTTTTGTACATTTGAGTCTGTTCCTTTCGGATATAGTTTGACAGTATAGCATAATTGTTAATGCTTCTCAACATGCAGTTTTTATTATGCGTGACATAAAGCATATATAATTCTTGCAAAATAAAAATAAAAATCTTTACAATTATAGTAATAAAGAAGAACAATAAGCGTAGCATTCTTAATTACTAGTATCAGTCAGCGTGGACAAGATTTATGGATGGTATATTCATGCGAAAATATAAGAAAGCTGATATTAATTAACTATGTGATCAACCTCGTGAGAGTTAACGCAAACACAAATTTTAATCAACGCATGCTTGAACTATTAATTATTGAGCAGCACGTAAGTAACAGCTTTAAAATTACCTATTGTTCAATTTGTTTCTCACACAAACGATCAAGTAACTTAGATCACAAATTTCATGGGCTCTTCTACAATGAACTCAAACTCCTCCTGAAATCATAATTAGCTCGTGTATAATGCAGCCCATGCCTTTTTAATATTCGCGTAATCCTCTCTGATATTGAATCATTTCATGAGTAATAACCACCACTAGTGTATAATATGATTAAAAATATTCTTAATTGCAAATGATGAGAGTATCAACGTAACATGTAACAGTATCTCTATTGAATATGAGCAAGAGGTTAAAGGAATATGCAGTTTACTTTATGGTTTCATTGGTTGTTAACATGATGACAAGGGCGTGAAGAACTTGGCAAAAAAATTAATGGGCATGCTCATTTTCAATTTAGTCTCTCATATAATTATTAGAGCTGGATCACAAAAAGATTATGATGCTGATGCTCTTAATGTATAATAATATCACCCGCCT